TCAAATTAAAAGAATGATATTTGAAACACAAAGACTAGCTGGAATGTAAAGATAATTAGTTCAAGGTCCCTTACTTACAGAAGTCAACAGACCCATAATGTAAATATGGAAGCAGATATAGGATAATTTAACAGTAAGCCCACTGTTTTAAATGTTCAGTGCACTTACCTGTGACCTTATCACCACTCTATCCTGCAAAATGTAACATCAGAGCTTAGATCAAAACGTCTTTTCACCACTTTCACACAGACACAACACTAATACCTCCATTTTCAACGTCGGCACACCTTGTTTGGTAACTTAACGTTGACAGGTAGCACCACCATACGGTTAACAAAAACGAGGCATCGGTCTAAGGCCGTTGTATTGTAAAATAAGTATCAAAAGTAAAATTTCAATTTCAAGCAAAGTAAAAATACTTATTACTTTAATTTGTGCTTCAATATCACATTTAAGTGGTGAAACAGCAGAACAAAATAATGTAAAGTTGTCAAAATCACTTCAACAGGATTGAATGGTAGCCTGCTTCTTATGACAGGAATAAGCACCTACTGATTAGCAAAATTGTATCACCACATGGACTGTAGTGCCATCTCCTTGTCAATATCCCATACTATGGTTGACAGCGACAGTAGCCCAGTGGGTAACAACATACACAATTTCAGTTTTTGAGTGGAAGTGGATAAACTATTTCACTTTCTCAGCTTGCATATCACCCTGAAGACTGATACAGCTAACCGACGATCTGAAACAAGGAAAGAAGATGAAGTTCCAGGAATTAAAACGAGAAGCTGAGAATAGGGAAAACTTGAGAACTCTTTTTTGGCAGAGCAACGGACCTGTCATCAGACAGAACGCTGAATAATAATATCACCCTGATAATGGAACAGCAAACACCTCTTAAACGTCGGGAAACTTCTACCAGACTACACAGCACATCCCAGGCAACCATCAACTGTATATCAATTATTTGTAACAGAGGTTCTCACAGCAGTGAAGATGCCAACTTAGTTTTCTCACTGACACCATGTGGTCTGTAGGCAGCTGCCAACGTTTTTGAGTAATGAATCTCCTCCATCTTCTGAATGAAGCTAGTGGCAATATGTTCTGGTACGACTTTCTTATCAATGTACAATTTTAATATCGTAATAATACAACACATCTTAAAAGAGAGTGTTTCAGCAGTATCTTCACTTCTATTTATTGAAAACAACAGACTGGTGAAGGCAAGGAATAGGACTTTCTTAAGGAGAAAATTCTACTGGCAACAGGAAACATGCAAGAAATAATTTACAACTTTGGCAGTTATTAGATAAAAATTTCTCTTCCACTTTTTAGTATGGACCAGTTCCATATTAATGCTAGGAACTCTTATTTACAACTCAAATACAAGTTATTGTAATAAGCAACTTAAAATTACAGCAATATTATTTATTCTTATAACTGTAATAAATGTTGACACAGTGTAAGACAACAGGCACAGATGAACATGCAAAAGTGTACACTGAAAATAAAAACATCCATTCCTCACAGAGCTAATGCAAAAGTAGCTAAAGATGACACAAATGCCCACAGACATTACAAATTTGGATACTGCATACCTTAATGCATAAACATGTTCCTTTAAGTACAACAAATTACAATCTACTAATGAAAACAAAGAACAGGGTTACCAGATTTTCAGTATCAATAAAGGTCTATCTGATAACACATTATCACAATTAAACTTTAGAAATGAAACACAACAAAATGAAGAACAGAGAAGACATTGTGAAACATAAACAGTAAGACCCAAGTAACCCTAACAATCTTTAAAGCCTACAAACATAAAAAATATAAAGCTGGTATTGTTATTTTTTAAAAAAGGTACAGCCAGATATAACAATTTAAAATTATGTTCAATGTTAAGTTTTTAAAACATAAATGGTATAGAACTTCAAAAATAATTTTACTGCCAAAAATAAATAGTTTCAATTTCAGTTATAATTTATATAAAAAAAATTCTTTAACAAACCCCCCCATGAGAAACACATGTAAATCATTCCAGAAATTCCACATCAAAAAGAAGTAATTTTTGGTATTAGATTATTATCATATAATTGGAGGGATGAAATATTGCATAATCCTCTAATGACAAGATAATGAAAATTATTAATGTAATGACACAACAATAAATAATCTTTACTGTAAGCCATTTTCAATAATTAAGCTACACAATTTCTACCTGACCTAATACTATGAAGAATTTAATGTTGACATGTAACTCTGAATTTAAACACATCTTTAGAGGGCTGGGAAAGTTCTACTGAAAAGTGTAGGTTCTCATATTACAACCTTCAAGCTGGTAACCCTATACCCATGAAGCTCGTTGTTATGAAGTAAAATAAATGTCACATTACAACAGCAAAAATTCTGTAAATTTGAAAAGTGTAGTAACCACAATATTAATATAAATATAAAGTTGTTTCTCTCAAATACAGACTTCATAGACTATAATCCCTATAATGACATATTGTTTTCTAAAAGAACAAATGAATACTTCTACATGGTACAAATCCATGTTCAGTCCTCTGTACAGTCCGTCTTCCTAAATGATCTCTCCCCACATAAATAGATACATTTTGTTATATACCTACTGCAGAAACAATTAAATATTAAACAACATGTTAAAACATTAACCCACCAAATTACACATAGCAGCAATATATAAAAAGATGCCACTTCACAGAAGTGTTGATAAAAATAGCTACAAGGAGCAGCATGGAACTTGGAATATGTTTGTTGCATGTGACCACTCCAACCTTACTTAATCCACAAATATTAATAGGTTCCTCAGTTAATGTGGTATTGTGCACCAGCAATCGAACACTTTGTATTTCAAATGTCAGCATACTACTATTCAACTGGCAATACTACGTCTCAATTTCAGTTCTGATAGTTGTACACACTATTATGTTCTAGCATTTACTGTATGAAATGTTTACATAATGAGAGATACTTCACTTGCAAATAAAACACAACACACTATTTCAACAAGCTGTGAGAGTATAAGTCATGAGAATAAATTTTCTATAACTCTGTAATACATTTTCTTGCGAGTGGTTTACTTAACATATTCATTTCCTAGTGTCACTGTTCCCAAAGATGAGCGTAAATAAGTAATCATATTAAATGTTATACAATGCTTCCAGAATGTGTACATTCTAATAATGGTATAAATTTCAACTTGCCACCTACAGTGGTCATGTAGTATTGTTGAACGATTTTAAGGTAAACAATGCACAACTTCATGGCAGAATAACAAAGGCTGATTATAGTTCACAAATATGTCAGATCTAAAATAGTGAAGAGTGAACAGCATCAAACTCATATAAGTAATTTTGTAAACTGAACTTTAATAAAAATCAATTTCTTCAAACAAATATTCACCAGTGTAAAACATATTTCCAGTGTCACTTGCTGCTTGTAATTTTAATTTTTATAAAAAATTTGAGTTACATGAATACTGAATACCTTCACATTTGCACATTATGGCTATACATTAAGCAACGTTAGAAAGAGACATTAGCAAAAGCACACTCAGACTCTTCGTCCTCCTTAAACATGGTGTCTTGAGCAGCAAGTGCAAATATTATTAGCAAACAAATCATTGGTGTTTGTCTTCCCACATGTTAAAAATTCCTTGTCAAACATTTAGAATACTACATAGCTATATAAACTGAGCACAGTCAATAAAAATGAATTTCTTTTCAAGAAATCAGTACACTGAATTTCAATTTAATGTGTAACACCATCTTCTACCAATTTCTAAGTGCCTTTACATACAAAGATTAACTTTCATTTTGTTCGCATTCCTAATATAAATTAAAATAAGTTTTAAAGATATGCAACATTCCCCAGTATTTACACAAATACATTCATCCACAATAATCACATGTATTTATTTATATATATATTTATATAATACATGTGAATACAAACATATACACCCTCTAATGTGACAATTACATGTAACAACTGACATAACTGAGTGCAATGATAAATTATACATCACCCTTGAATACGACAGGCAATGGATATATGTAATTATTAGTTCATGATTGGCACTTACATTAACTCATGCAACAATAAATATACACAAAATACACCCAGCAGTTGCTGTTCAAGACTAATCTTGAGACTTGTGGGGTGAGGAAGTATGGAGGAGGATGAAGTAGAGAGGGATGGCATCTGCTGTGTAGTAACATATCATCAGTTCAGAACATATTGGCCACTAGAAAGTATGCTTGTGTAGTGCCACTGTAGAGAAAGTAGTTAATGCTTTCGTTGATCCATGCTGTCTGTCATGCCTTTCCCCTTCCAACTTCCTGCATACCTCACAAGTCTTAAGATCACAATAGCAAACTGTACTGGTATGAAATGCCCATCAAGATAAACCAACATCTTGTAATGCATGCCAATATAGTTTACACAGTGTGTGTATGGTGTTTCATGCTTTACTGCCATGTCAGCATCACCAGTCTACACCTATTTACCTCCTGCAGAAAAAGATCTGAACAATTCTGCATTCTCCTAGTGAAAACTTTCATACCACCCTGTATTAATAAATAGTTATGTACAAAATAAAACATCCACTATTTCAGCATACTATGTGGCTTATCTTATAGAAATACAGTGAACTGAAACTGAAAAGTTACAGAAATTATTTGAAGTTCTGTTTCTTGATGACCAAAGCACCAGTAAAAGTGGGTGCACACTGATGAGTTATACAAAGACAATTTCTTTTTGTCCTGGTACCTAATGCACAGGATAAGTACACACTAATGCACGAGCTGTTGACATCAATCACAGGCTGAGATGACCTGGTGAAACTGTGAAGGATTTTGTAGTTGGCAGAACAGTTTTTGTAGTGTGCTAGATAAAATTGATGGTGCACACAAAGTGATATTTGTTACTCCATGCAATTGTACCATTTCAAACTTGAGTGAAAAACACTTCGCTTCAACATTTATAGGTGTATTTTGTGTTGCTGCTGCTGCATCACCCACCAGTAGCACATTTTTACAAGGGCCATACAGGAAGAATTAATGATTATACAAAGATACAAAATTTTTCTCACAACTTGTACTCCAGTCCTGAAAAAAAAGCATAAAAAGAAAAAAGCTGATGCTGATCAGACAACTTGTATTCTTTCATACTCAACTATTTAAAAGCTATAGACTATAAAGGCACAGAAACATAAAAACAAATGTTATTAATTTAATTACAATCATTACATATATTTTTTCATTCAACATGTTTATTACACTCAAATTATTCACAAAATGAGCTTTATTTTCTCTTATGAGTAATATAAAACAATGTAACTACAAGAGAAATATTTCACAGTTTTCCTGTCCTTGAGTAAACATTTTTTTAAGACTGTCTGCTTAAAACTAAAATCACTTAACAGTTTATAAGTTATGAACTCTCACAGAGGCCTTGAAATTGTGAGGAAAGAATAGTTTATATAGAACAAATTTGAATGAAGCGACATTTTACTGAAAATGGCTTCATAAAATGTCATTACATTTTATTTACTTTTAGAGAAAGGGGTAAGTGTATAAAATTCAGCTGAGATCTAGTTACACTTGTAATTAAATGTGGCAGTTGCTTTTAGTGTTCGGTGATTGGTCATAGCATTCATGGAGCCATTCTGCAAGCTGGAACTGACTGTACTTCAAGGAGATTTTGCATTGCAATTAGACTGATAATGGAATATGTAAGAGGCAGTGTCCTGTGTCAAATTTTTATTGTGTCCACATTGTAGTCTGAAATGAAGATGTAAAAAGACTTGTTAGGAAAGATGTCAATAAAAAGGAAAGAAAATGTGAGGAGCTGTGAGAAGAGAGAGCTAGATGGAGAGGACTGGTTGTTGGGAGTGTCTCTTAGAAAAGATGCAAGTGCTTGGTTGTAAGACTTTTGATGCTTTTGTTACTCTGATGCCAAACACAACAACTGATAAATGATGTTCCAAAATGAGATTATTGTCTGAAAATTTTCTTCTCACAAAATTTCTTACACCTCCTGCTTTTGGAAGACAAGGTAGACAAAATGAAATACTTACAATCCATCATACCTTGATAAAGTTTGTTGGTCAATACAAAAAAACAAAACTGGAAAATGGGTAACAAGCCACAAAACTTTATACCAAATGGTGGAAGATTTAAAAATGAAGGAAATGGACAGGACTGAAATTTCATATCATTGTTAAAAACATAATGAAGATTAATCTTGACTGAGAAATTGTATGTAAGAATAAAAGAAAAATTAATAGACCATCAAGCATAAACCAATTAACCTGGCAGGTAGTAGATAAGCAAGTACATGAATAAACTCCACGAGGTTCCGTTTGGTGTATACCTTCAGCAATTGACTTGCATTTACTACAATTGAAATATTGCTACACAATATATTTGTATTCATATTTTAATATTAATTGATTCATGTAAAGTGTATTAACATGTAGAGTATTGATATTAAACTGAGTTACTGTTTTATTAATATTTAACAACATAATCAGTTATAATTGCAATGAGTTGTTGCTAAAAAAAAACACACACACACATGCGCACGTACACACACACATTTTACTGACAGACTATCAAGAAATTTGCAATTATGTGTCCTGTATTTATAAAAATAAATAAAAATCCTATCTATAACAAATTCCAAATCAGCACTGATTAAACATAGTTGCTCTCAGAAACCAATAAAAACATTTTATCTGACAATGGAGACCAGAAATATATTTGCGAATAAAATAATATCCTAAGCAGTTGCTTTCATACCAATATAAAATGGTTTACATAAAACTGCTCATTTGAAGAACATATCACTTACTTTTGGCAATAAATACACATGTCAAAAGTCTTTAAAATTAAAAAAATTACAAACAGCCATCATCATAGCAAAGTATATATACACCCATCATCGGCTACAGATATATGTACATTCACACACATGTAAATGATGTATGTACAAAACACATTTCATGAACAAGAATCATAATGTAAGTTGCAAAATACAATCAATTATACAAAGGAATCTTAACTGTTCTGAATGACTGAAAATGGTGTCTTATTGAAGATATAATAATTAAACACATTTTGTGACATTTTTTTGCAAGATTCTTCCTAACTAGAATTCAAGTTGTTACATGAGTACTTACGTGCATTCAAATTATAATGCTTTCAGCTAATCAGTAGCCTGAAAAATCAATACACAACAATTTATAATTCTACAAAAAATAAATTCCCAATTATAGCCAGTCCATGCAAGGTTAAAATTAACATTCTAATCACAGCAGAAACAAATGGAAAACAAGTCTACAAGGGAACACCAATCCAGTTTTTATCATCTCATGGTTCCATATTATAAAGAAGCTGTGATACTCAAAAGAATATACTAACCAAAGAGAGTGTATTGTTATATACCCCATGTGGTTTGTATGTTATCTGGGGGGGAGGGGGCAACACTATTCTGTATAATCTTATCATACAATAAAACTAAAGGAACATCCAGGTTTCTAAATAACTGAAGATGTTGATACCCTATCTTTCAGTACACATGCCTCCATCACGTCAATAAATCATTGTTTCATACTGTGGTATGACTAAGTACACATCAGAAAGTACAGTTAGTAGGCTAAAGAGGGAAACACAAAATAACTGCAAAAATGACACAACTGTTTATGAGAAAAGAAAGATCCAGGTCAAATTGCGACCACTTATAAACATCATGCAAAACCAAAATTAAAAGTCTGAAGCAAGTTGAAATATTCTGTCAAAACTCAGGTACAATACTTTTTTAAAATTACTAAAAACAGTTTATGGTGGAAAATTCAAAAAATGTTCTGAAGGCTAGGCATGTTTAGTAAATGCCATATGCCTGCTCACACCACTCACTTCATCAATGCAAAAAGCAAACTCTCCAATAGCCCTTTTCAGAAATGCTGTGTAAACATCTTTATTATGTTGTTATAACTTTCAGCTTTAAACGAATGATATCAGTTTTGGCCATTACGCGTTTAAGATCTTGTTAAAAGTGTAGTTTTCAAACTAATTTAACCATCAATATTTATGCAAGCTATATTAAACTTTGGAAACAACAAAAATATGAACTCTCACTAAATTACGTGTGTTGGTATTTGGAAATAATGGATAATGCTCCTTATTGTTGCACATACACACAGTACCAAATGAAATTGCAACAAACCCTATAATGTTCTGTTGGCACATTTATCCTACTTTTATTGAAATATGCTGTAATAAAATGAACATTCATTGATTAGCAGAATGAAATACTAATTATAGGCACAAAATCAAAACTACATCACAATAAATGTTTTCTAAGCTTCTATTTTATGCCTTTTAATGCCTGTCACATGAAAATTCTGTTTATGTATTATTTCCTGCCATTTGGTACATGATGGACACCAATTTTATGGGACACCATTTTCATGTCATTGACACAGTTTGTTAAGGACTTATTTAATTGCTATCATAAGCTATCAACTACATCTATAAATATCAGAGTAATTTCACATTTCCTTACTGCATAAACTTCAACATTCATCATCTCTTTCATATCTCATAATTACTTGAAAGAGTTAAAAATATCAGTGACTTCACTCCAGTTTTCAACATTAAGAACAGGGCATGAGGAGTGGTACAAGATTCAATAACTGAAGAAGCAATGCATACAGTTATTAAAACTAAGCCCCCCCCCCACACCACCACCACCAATTCTGCCATTCATAAGCTATTTGTGACTGATCAAGCCTCTTCACTATTAACCTATATACTACACCTGAGCACTGATCAACAAATTAACTCTCTTCAAGCTTGAATACAACTCAATATGTAAAGAGTGATTCAAATTCAACCCAGAAATGTTAATTTCTTTTAAATATCTCCATTAGATGTGAACCCATGTTAAAAATTCTATCCTGCAGGGATAACACAAGTATGTACATGCGGAAGGTCCTTGAGAAAACTCTCATGACACAGGTACGATGAATTACTGACATAATCAAACTTCCTGGTCAAATTTGAACACCTAAACTGAATCAACAGAACTGGAGTTTGTCAAAACTTTACCAAATAGACTATGGATTTTACCTGTATGGAGATTTTTCCTGCGCTTACCTGTACTTCATTAAAACTATACACTATATACCTCCTGGTTATTTAGCATTAGTTAACATGAGCCACAGCACAGCCCAGTTCTGACTAATAACTGTTTTGACATTCATAGCGATAAAAACTGACAATTTTTAAACCAATTCTGACATGAATGTTCCTAATTTTACATTTGCGCTATTAATGACTCAGTTTACACTATTTTCAAACCTGTGACAGAATACTCACGACACAAAATTGTAATCATCACAGAAACTGCTTTTCATTTTATTTCCAACAGCCAATTCCTAAATGTTCCAACTGCAACTGCTCCCATCCCACAATCACTGTTCCCTTATCTGTACCAACAAACTATACCCATTATACAATACGTCTGCCCATCAAAGTCGGTACAGAGGAGCACTGGAACGGAACTTGCTATGGACGAGTTGAGTTTTGCTTCTGGATTTCACTCCAGTGCAACCTGATTTAAAACAAGCTTTTTTAAATTGGATGTCCATTAACAACTATTAAAAAGAGTGCACTCAATATATGACGTGGGTACAAATCCTTCTTCCATGTCAATCTGTCGCCGCACTCGTGTCCAGCCATCGCCCTGGTCAAGCTCAATGATGTGCAGTTCCTCACCATCTTGCATTGGTATGGATCCCTCACTTGTGGCTGTACATCACAAAAGAACATGCACATACAAATCACTCACTAACAATAATATCTAACATTCCTTGTCAAATACTATGGGCATAACAGTTCTTGACAGTGTAATAAGGTCATTACACCATCTGCTTGTTTTACAAAATGGATGCATTATATGAAAGCTGTGCAGAAAGCAAAAACCTGTTAAACAAAAACTAATTTCCCATTAATGTGGAAGCAATGTTTAGAGCTACTGAACCCAAAATAAATAGTAATAAAAGAAGATATGTGAACAACATTTATTTAATCCTTTTAATAAAGAGAAATTAATCTGAAAAGAAAATCATGATTTAAGACCAGAGACAGAACTCATGAGAATTATTAATGTTCAGAGTTTAGTATTAAACAAACAATGTAATACACAGACAGTAACTAACAGGTTGTGCGAATCCTACATAACTTATACTATATAATTTGTTCTCAAATGCTGTTCAAAATAAAGGTGACCATCTTCTAGGTTGTTGTACCCTGATGACAGAGGCCATAAGCATTTCCCTCATCAATGATAATTAATCAATTCCAACATACAAATGATCCTAAAAATCATCACCTAATGAACTTGAAAAAATTCAAGAAAAGACCCTCAAAAGGCAAAGCATAGAATTACCTTACCTTCAAATGGGTATAGTGCTTTACATATGCCAAGAGCAGGGAGTACTTCTCCATCACAGTAGTCACTGCCAGGGTGGCCTTGTGCATCACTGTCACCATGTTCCGGATCAGAGTCAGGAAGGCTGGTATGAGACGTTCCCAGGCCAGACTCGGGACTGTTTGAGGAGCTATGTGTTGGTTAGGCAACATCCAATATACTGCCCATTAGCAAATACACGCAACATCATTCATGCGCGCACACACACAAATTATTGTTGAAGTCCAAAAACAATGTGCTCTTCAAGTTGTGATTCCATTTTGAATGATAGGGTCGTCTCAAAAAATACCAGAAGGGATGGCCATGTATTAATCATATTTAAAAACTAGCTTCACTTTGACAGAGAAAAGGGAATGACACCATACGATATTCATTCACACATTCAAAATACCAAAACACAAAGCACTAAATAAATGATAAATAAAACACAGAACTTAGAAGTTAACACAACAATACAAGTAAGCCAATAAATATGTAAAAAAAATTGTTTCTAATTCCTTCACTGTTAAAGATGGAAAACATGTTGGCAGGATGTATGTTAACCTATTACCATGTTGAATGTCAGGATTTGGAAATCAGTACATTATTCATGTGTGCATATGTAAATAAACCAGTATTATTTTTAACCTACTTACAGTATCCGTTGAGGAAAGGTAAGCTGATGGTTGTAACATGTCTTTGTCCCATCTAATAACTTTTGAAAACAACTGACAAGTTCACACAAATCTTGATTTTGCTGTAGAACTACTCATGAAATATCCAATAAACAAAAACCTGATACAGTAATTTACTGTAACATAAATTTTTCCATTTTTGTAAACCAATTTTACTATGACATGAGCAGTCATTTTTGTCCCTGTGCAAAAACTTTCGAAAGGAACAATGATGACAAGTGAGATGATAAAATAGCGTGGAAATTAAGGAACAGTAACAAAGCTACGCTTTTGGTCAAATGTTGTCATGTGTAATTTGAACAGGAAAGAGTTGCAATGACTAGAATGACACATTATAACCCACGACTTACCCATGTGATGGAAGGGGCGTGCCAGGTGCTGATTGCTTGTGGTTCACAGTTGGATTTGATACACTTGAGTCTGAAGCTGAGCGACTAAGTGAATCCTCTTCCCCTCCTGACCCTCCACTATTTCTGAAATGTTCAAAATAAATATTACTCTAGTATACTCTTAATTTTGTTATCTTTGCAAAACAAATTAAATTCAGATGTACAACATTTTGGGGGGAAAAGACACACCAAAAAACAAGTAGTCCTCATTAAAACAAGTAGCATGGATGGTTATTTCCTTAAAAGTATGTACCCTGATCTGCAGTACATTTCTCATCTTCAATACATACCCAATTTTAACCTCAAGCAATGGGTTATCCCTACCCAAGTTTTTTTAAAGCCTCTTTAGTCCATCCTGGTACATACCTGGACAGTATCTTGGAGGAGGCCATGACACCTTCCACATCCCTCCCCACCCATCACTCAATCACAATAAAGTCAGGCCCCATTACAGTACCGCACAGTCACCAGCAATACTGCTGTTAAAGTGGGGGTAGCAGTAAATTGAAACATTTTTTTATTAATTTGGATTTACTGTGAATATCTGAAACACAGCATCAACTGATGGGTTTACCCCATAAATGGGAGAAATAGTTAGCAATACATTGCTAGCTTGCAGCACGATACTATCTTTTGTAGATACACAAATCATTCATGACATCGGCACTTCAACACTGCCTTTCTCCCCATTTGTCTACCGTATTTCTTTAAACTGTATATTGCAAGAAGTTGCCTGTGCGGCAGATGGAAATAAAATGGTATGGCAATGTATCAGAGTTGATCATATGCTTAACGGTATATTTGTATTGTTACAGACATTGGTGGATAGTGGTTTGAAAGTGAAGACCATTTGCCTGCTGCATATCATGTGTGTGGATTTTCAAAGATATTTTTTTAATATATATATATAAATTACACACTTATCAAGAAAACCATGAGAGGAGTTTAAATTTGATTTGGAATTTTGGCTATTTCTTTCACTGAAAATAATATGGAATGGGATCACTTTTGCGCAGTCATTTCATGAGATGAGACAATTGTGTGGGCCTGCATGCAGAGGGAGGATATCTTCTGAAGACTTCCTATTATGAAACAGGTAAGACACTTAACAATACACTAGCATCAAAATTATGTATTACATCTTAATCATGTATGTGCCACTAATAATAACAATTCTCAAACACAGTAAACTGTTTGTAATCAGTAGTAACCTGTGGTGTCGATGAAGATGTCCTCCATTAAGGTGATGTCCTGGGGCAGTCCCTTTATTCCGTCGACTTGGAGCAGAAGGTGACACGGAGAGAACAACTGACTGTTGTCCAGACTTATTATTAATGCCCTCAATTGCTTCTTCTAAATAGCCTTGATATTTCTGCAACTCTAGTCGCAGCTTGTCCAACTTGTGGCCACTCTCATTTAGCTGTCCTTCAATGGACATTGGATCACCTAATGCAGGATTCTGTTCATATACACCTTTCATTTTCATCAATCCATCTCTGAAACCAAATTATTTCAAACAAGTTCATATTGTGGGAAAACTGAAAAAACATTCTGTGGCTATTGAATATGTATGTTTAGTTTAATAGAATACAGTACAATTAAGCTTAACACACTAAACATATTGTATAAAACGAATTAAAATCAAATGGTCCTATTGTATTAGCATGAAGTGAATTTCAATGTAATGGGAAAAGGTCAATGTTCCTTAACAAGTAACTACATGGAGCAGAGACCTTTGGATGCCAGTAGTTATTCAGCTAGTCAAGTGGACATTTTCCCAAGAATTTTATTCGCCTAAATTGAGTATTTATAGTCTGTTTCATCCTAGCCACAAGCCTAGCCAATCAAACAGTCTCCTATATAAATAATGCATTTCCTTGTTATGTAATATCCTAAATTTATCACTCACTTCAACCTTATTAGGTCTGAATATTTTCTTGAACACTTTGTTTTCAAACACTTGTTATTTGAGCACTTCTCTCTTATTCTTTCAGTAGGAAGGAAGACAGAATCTTTCAAACTGAATAACAAGAAGCATTAAAAGAATTTATTCTTTTCCTAATATAATCATGAACCTAATTTCTTATTTCTTGGTTTTGTTTCCAGATACTTACATTTTAAATTATTTATTACACAGTTACAACTTTCTTGATAATTTGTTATATAAATTTTCGTTACGAGACCCACATTAATACATCAGAAATTCTCTCATCTCCATCTGTAATCCATTACACGAATAACACACAGCATACCTTGCAGCAGTCTCTTGTTGAATCTTCGCCATTATGTCTTCTACTCGTAATTGCAGTTTCTTTTTCCTCTGGTTTGGTGGAAGGTCGCTATAGTCCTCCTTGTTTTCCCCATATGAAGAGAAGTTGTTCTGCAAACAACCTCACAATAACTAACTGTATATCATACATTCCTAATGCTCATATTGCTATACTTATATATAAACACACTTCATATTCTGGAGTTGCTACTCAGTATTTCACTTTTACACTAGACAGATTCAGACCGTCCACAATAACACTGAAAATGACCCTGTCAACTTATAAATCAAACTAGTTGCTGAATACCTTCTTCACTATATCTTTACCATAAGCATATATTCTGAAAGACTTCAGACCAGAATATGAACAAGCCAATTCAAAGGGCCAGACAATATGAATTACTTCTTTGGCATTCAAAGTACAGATATAAAAATAAATGTTAACAATACAAGTACCATCACTCAAAATATGATTGCTTGAATGAACATAAAATGAAAGTGATTCATTAAAATGTAATATACCTTTTCTCCTTTTCTACTCTTCCTCATATTGTCACATAACTTTACATTAATATGTGATTTTACATCTTTCCACCCCTTAACTCAATGTGTGTAAAATTACACACATTACAAAGCAGAAGAAGAAAAAGAGCCACAATCTGATACAGATGTGAAAGTAAACAATATATAAGATATCTAAACAAATATGACAGCACAGAAGTTCATAAGAGATAAAACAAGTGTGAAAGTTATCACGCCACGCCACTTCACTTCACTCCACATGAAGCTAGAGCCATGCAGAGTAACATGCCACCGAATTCACAAACCTGACCAATTGTCCCAAATGTCACCATGTTATATCTCTAACTCGTATCCATTACATATACGGCATTAGGTGTCAGAGACATGTATATGCTGTAAGTTATATTAACTGCAGTTGCACACAAGCAATAATAATACTGCTGAATATCTCAGAGGTTATATGGCAAAGCAGAACATTACTTAATTTCTCAAATTTAGTGCACATGGAATAGATATTTTAAACAACAAAATTAAAGTAAATAATAAATATCAGTGACAGAACAACAGAAAGGTAAAAGAAAACAGCATTTTTATAAGGCTGAATTCCCAGTCACCCAGCATTTTTGATTGTTCCTTAAACTATTTCACTGTAATGTAGAATTACAAGCAGTGTTCCATTTCAGACAACATTCTAAACCAAGTAAAATTATCATTCTAACTGAAACTGGTTAAAGTTTTCTAAACTCACTCATTTTACTCTTCAACACAAGACATGAAAGATACAATGTATGCTGCCACCAATGATTCATTATGCTATGATGCAATGTAATTGTTCAGGCAATTTCAAAATAATGTAATCACTAGCACAAATATGATACAATTTAATAAATAATTAACAAGTATTCACTATACAAATCTTCAGATTAATGACTAAGAACACTTATATTTTTTAAATTTGTCATTGGCGAGTCATTATCTAATCACCACCTGATGAATATATAATTATATATCTGGATACTGTTTTTCATAATAAAATAAATAATAGAGGAAAACAAACAAAAGAAATATGAAGCTTCAATGCAGCACACTATATAAAAAAATTGTCATCACTGCACTCTGATGTCATTGTAAAGTAATTTTAAATTGTGAAAATTGTATTCTCGGCAGAGCTACCGTATCCAAAGGAATTTTGCTTGGTTATCACTTACAAATTTAACAACTGAAACTGTCTGCATATTAATGCTGCCACAATATTCAACAAACAATAGAACTATACATAGCAAACAAATATAAATAAAGTACATAGAGAATGTTTTCAAACAATATTCTCCTGCAACCAACACTGAACTTCAAGAATTTTAATTAAACCTACCTTGAAAGCAATGCACACTTCAATGAACTTCTGAAAGCATGTAAACAAGGAAGGACGGTATATATTCAAAGTTCTACGAAGTCAGAGAAACAAAGTAGTTACAGCTACTCTACATTTGACTTTTGATACCATATATAAACAAATTTATAAGCAGCAAAATACTCACATGAACAATAACATAATACACATGCAATGCAAACTAGATCAAATTATATATCCGAACATCTGTCTATCACACACATTTAAAACACTTGTGAAAAGTATGTTACCCCAATACAAATGCACATAATTTTTGTTTCAGAATCAGATTTTGTAGACCAGTCAGAACCTGTATAAATAATAATAATATTTTCACATTTATTCTATTGTCTTGCACATAACCTAAGCTGCAGCAGTAATTCCAAGATGCATGAATATTTTTACCTGATATCCTGATAAACTAGAATATTACCAAAAAAAAATTGACTCGCCAGGTTACATGTTTCTATCATGAAATACGACTATAACTCATGCTATCTACTAGTAATCTCTTCGGTGTTCCTAACTGTGCACATGTTTTTATGTATGTGTGGATGTTTACTTCTTTAACTTTTGCAAAAGAAATTGATGTAAATGCAAATATAAGGAGTACACCACATTTATGACATGTCTTCGAAAAGAAGTTTACTACTTCCCAAATAATCATATTACAACACCTTCATGGGAACTGAAGCCCAAATCAGATCAAGAAGTCCTTCTATCAAAATAAATTATCATTATTTACAAGGTTTAACAGTAAATGAAAGCATCCAAATTGTTAACATTAATATTCTTGATATATTATGAATGACAGCAACAGACATGCTCTTAGCAAAACCGATTTCTTCTCTCCTTCACTCCAAATCAACATGTCAAGGTGTGAAGACAAATCTTGAATATCATGCTTTAGTCTGTCTTCATGCTGAAGATGCTATTTTACCACAAATAGATATAAAGAAAACATGATCTACTCTCCATGCTAACAACACTCCATGACTGCTAAGTCTAATATTTAAAACAATTAAAATAAACATAAAAAATAAAGGAAAAGAATTTTTAGGATACTGTAGTCTCAACATCTGTGCCTTCCTCACCTATAGGATTAAAATTCTTTCATTTTCAAGACTAAAGCTTAATTTGCCTAAATGGCTTGCTTCAGAACTACATATACACAAAATAATCACATTTATGGACTACAAATTTTACGACAGCATAATACACATTCCAGGAATGGAGTACTGCCTTCTAATAATTCACCACTTACATTTAGATAGGTCAAAGTAATTGTCTTGATTTGAAAAACAGTAACTTTCAAATTCACTCTGCATATACCAATAAAAATGCAGTCTACTTCACGATGAAACAAAAGGCCTAAATGTGGCATGACAATGAACACAGACAAGAATCTTTAATCAGAAGAGAATCATAAAGCACATCATATTTTCTAGACCAAAAGAATACCAAAGCTAATGGAGTACACATTCGGGACCATTTCTTCAATAAATCATGCAATAAGTCAAGCCATATTGTCAAACAGAGAAGAAAGAAGGTTCTTAACAACAGTTTCTTTTTGGTGGGAGGGGCGACACTAAATGATCTACCAAATATAATTTTTGTTTTTAATACCATTAGGTGATAAATCACTAACAACCTGCAGTGGTGTTTGCATTCCTCCAAACACTGAGATGATACCAAAAACAAACAGATTACTTCAGAGAACTTTCTGATGCAGTTGATCCATTTATTGCTTATTTGCTTCAATGTTTCATACTCACCCTCTTAGGTTTATGGTGGTGATAACAACTGTAGGGGTGATGAAATACTCTGTACATACCACCAAGTTGCAGCAAAAGACTATGTTATGATGATGTATTTATAATTCACCTCATAAGAAATATCACAATTTTCAACAGCATTTCTTCCACAGGAACATTAGCACATATATACACACACACGCGCGCGCGCACACACACTTGGACAAATTATGATATATCTACGCTTCAATGTGTGTCAGCATCCCTTACTTTAGTATGAATATTTGTTCACTAAAGGTATTCTGATACAGGCCAATTAATGAGAATACAATCTAAACCAAAACAAGGGTAAAGAAAAACGTGGATAGGAGAAAGAAAAATTTGAGAATGAACAGAACAGCTTACATTTATGTTCTTTAAACCACCTTCTTGCCTACCAACTGATATCAGCTGTATTTTAATAACATTTCTTTCATACAAAAGTGTGTGCAGTATTAGAATTATCATCTATAAACAAAAAATTATGAAGAAATAAAGACCAAGCACACACATATTTTCTGCACACAGCATGAAGCCTGGGAAATATAGTAAATTTCATTGGTACAGTTATTCATTTTGCATACATTTTTGTCTTTGGCTCCAAGAGAGCAACATAAAATGGAGCCCATTTTCAGGACATAAAAAAGAATCTACAAAGGCCACAATGCACCAACTGCTGCATGCAAACAGTGCAACAAGTTTCCCAAAACAGATCATGCAACATTCACACCTAACCATGTATACTTACAGCAATGGTATGAAGTCCAATTCAACCAGTCACCAAAAAGGGGAACATTCATGAGAGAGAGAAGAAAATCAACAAATTAATCAACTAACAAGTGCATAACACAGGTTTGACCAAGTCACCTAATATCCAACCTTATAAAAAACAATGATAAACCAAGGCCAGAAGAAGATAATATTAAACTGTAGTACTAACTAAATATGATATTACACCAATCAACTGCTACTAAAATAAAATACAATATTTCTATAGAAACAACACTGTTTATAATCATATAAACATATGCTAGAACAAAAGAGTTATAAAGAAAAAAGAATTCAATTAACAAAATATATAAAATAAGCATTCACTTTACAAATAAATACTTGTGGTATATAAAAACTGAGAATGTCATATAAGCTCTGAAAAAAAGCAGATCACTTTATAGCTTCACTAAACCAAAACCCTTTTTCAAAGTATGTGATTATCCACCAAACCGTAGAATAAAACATGCGCAGAACATGCATCAAGAAAACAGAGCAAATGAAGTAAAATTCTTCAATGGCCTAAGTTGATATTATAGTCAGATCAGCATAAATGCTGTGATAAACTGTGAAATACAGGGTCCTACATACCAGCAACTTTTAAAATAATTACATTATATAAAGCAAAAATACATGAAAGTCTTACGAACAAAACAAAGAATTCTACTTTCAGTGTCTGTATTTCATAACTAAGGTCACTCACATGTGAGTCGATATATATTATTTGCATACATATACAGTGAAAAATCAATTTGGAGATAACAGAGTTTGCCAACAAGGTATTTCTTTCTACATGAGTTCCTTGAATGATGGAGTAGATTCATCAGTGTGGCCAAGAAACAACTACCAGATCACCATAACCTTGTATGATAATAAATAAATTTTCATTACAATCAAACCTATATGATGAAGCAGTAAAAGGAAGCTGTGAAGCATGGCAAGATAAATATTCCAAACAAAACAAGGCCTCAACATTTTCTTTGAACAGGCAAACGCATGCACAAAAGATAATTTGACAAACTCTTTGCCAAAGTAAATTTTTCAGACTTATCCAATGGCAAAATTAAGCTCAGACAGTAAAATTTTGGCCTTCAAGATCTCCAGACCAAAATCAATGTAATTTTCACCAGTCATGAATGTCCAAAGCCACACATTTTATGGCCGAGTCACATGTCCAAGAAGTGTGGACATTCTCACAAACTGTAATGTTAAATTATCTTCCATCTGAGATTTCATGTTTGCACAGCAGTAAAGATGTTGAGGCCATCTGGTATCAAAGAAAAGCTAGTAACCACCTATATAACCATGGAGCATCACAACCATAACTGACATTTCCCAATCATCATAACTCACATATGTGAAGTTCACAACTTGTGTCAGCTCATTTCTCAGTCTCTGCACACGTAATTTAGCAACCAAACTTACAAAAGAAATATATTTATGACAAATATGATCATCCAAGGAACTCCTCAAAAGTGAGTGGGAGGGTCTCGATTAGGGAAATTTCTTTTATTCACCTACCATGCAAGAAGTCTAATAATGCCATCCTATATTGAAGAAAGCAAGAACCTATAAAATTATTCATGAATATCTTTACACATATTATTTCTCTCCAGTAAAAGTAAAGCTGTCCCACTACTTCGATACAATGTGGTGGTGTTTGGGGGCAAGGAGGCGTAGCTTCTATTCATTCTTGACCTCAGCACTACATAGAGGTAAGTGTTCACTGCCATGCCCCTGCTGGGGTTTACTCGCAAGGAAAGGGCTCCCTGGTGCCCAATGGATGGGCGGGTCACAGAGCCAATCTGAACACAAAGGCTTGAAGAAAAATTCTTTGCCCTTCCAGTCATCTAATCCATAGTCAGACATGCTGACCTAATTTGTTTCTGCTAAATTATCAATAACCGATATGTAGAACTTTGGTCCATAACAAGGAAATGTTTTACCAAACAGCTTTTCTCTTATAAAAATAGTCACCTGTCTTTGAATAAGTTTTGAAAATCAGTATTTAATCCTCAACACTATAAATACATTAGACCATAATCTTTTAATACAGCAAATTAATCACTTGTGAATTTAAGGACAATTATGCGTAGGTGAAGGTAAAATGTTAGCAACATCAAGATCCAAATCTTGACATTTGTATATGTCTGAACAATGCACTATTTCATCTTGTGAAGAGCTCAGTTGATGACATTTCTCAGAATCTAACTCCATCCATCTGTGCTGTCATCACCCAAGAACAGAAACAAGATTAACTACAAATGACTATGAAATGCCAAAGAATTCTGTGTTTAATTTGAAGTTGATGACCAATTTAAAGGGAAACCAAAGATTTGTTGAAATGTCACTTTGAACATACCTGTTACATACAAATTACAATGTATTCTGAAAAGAAACTTAAATTTTAAGACGTTTTATTCTACAGTAACAAAACAGACAACTCTACCTTATTAGAGCTGAAAATGCCAAAGATGCCAACTCTCTTCTTTATCTTCCCCGCTGACATTGTACCTTTAATTGTCATGGCTTCTGGCCTGATGGATGTAATGGCAACAGTGTTGATTGGGGCAGGCACTTCACCGCTCTTAATTGCACTGAGGTCTTCAAATGGAAAATCTTCTGGTGGTTGAAACCCTGACTTATATCTTTCTATAACCATCAGAGTGTCCTACAGACACACAAATCCAACAAATTCAGAAATGTCATCATCAAAGGACATGCCATGAGAAATAAATCCAGAGTAGTACTGATGAGATTGATAGCATTTAAAATGTAATATTTACAATAAAACAATATTTTCAAGAAAGAATGTTCACAGAACAGAAACCCAACTTTTTATATTACACGACAATCTTATAAATAAATTCTCCTACCTCCTTCTCATTTATCTGTTCAGATGCTCTTACAATCCCATCTAAACATTTGCTGATGATGGGAAAAACATTTCTTTCAATGTCAACTGACTGTATCATGAAATTCTTGATATTCTTTATTCGCTTCTCATCCAGTTCTTGTAGCTGATGGAACACGTCTGGCATCATCGTGTGATAGTGCTGATTCTGCAAAAATAAAACTCATGATGCAATTCTGAAAACAGTATAAATATATAGAGAATGAACCCGTGTGAACAGTGCACATTATAGTTTCTGCTGGTTGTGCCAGTGTGTGCTCAGTGATTTATGGAAATATGTGGTACTACCTCACACTGAGTGAAATAATACTGGCCTTACTTTAAACTATCCAAAAGCCAACTGATTGACGAACAAACGAATATCACCATCACCATCCTGTTAGAAATAGATTGGTAATTACAGAAAGTAATTAATATTTTATGTAAAAACATTTATACTTTTAATTTCAAATCTTGCTTAGTATACTGATCTGAATAAAGTGGGTATTCTTACATGAGCGAAGAAACTAACCCTGTATTCTTCTGTAAATTGTAAGCTTGAAGACAATAAACAAAATTTCAGGAGAGCTTTAGAAACAAGGTTCCATGAAATTCCACTCCTCAATATTCATATAATAACTGAGGACTTTAACAAGAGCATGTCTTAATGAAACTTTCAAAATTATTACCTGTAAATCATTAGTCTTCTGGAGCTGATTAGCATATTCATTTTTTGTTTCTTCACACTGCTGTGATTTAATGGTCATGTTCATCCGCTGTTTCTCTACTTCAGCACGTGATAAATTTAAGTCTGCATCTGCTCTCTGAAAGTTATCCAATGCCCTTTCTGCTTCCTTGAATGCTTTCTCATAGTTCTTGCGAGCCCTATCTAACGAGTTAATCTGGGCACTCAGGTTTGCCATCATACGAGCCCCCTCTTGTAAATGCTATAAAACAAAATTAATTACACATAAATTAGTAGTAGTCACACATAAAGGCTGTTGAGGGATGATATATGGTTCCAGAATGTGAATTTGGTAACAAACATGCAAAATATATGTTTCTGTTGTAGTTATTTATAATTCATGGCATGACCAAAGCATTTATTCATGTAATTAGGAACTACCATCAACTATCCCACAGTACAGTCATATTACAGAACAATTTATATAACATGTAAAAGACATATCCAGAAGAGAGAGAGTGAGGAACGAAAGGATTAGAGAAATCATGAGGGTGGATCGAGATATAATAGTGGAGATAGAGAAAAGACAACTAATTTGGTACGGACACGTGCAAAGGATGGAGGAGGAAAGGTTACCAAAAATGACTATGAAATGGCAAACCAAAAGAGAGAAGGAAGAGAGGAAGACTGAGACCAGGATGGAATGACAGAATTACAAGAATCATGATAGAGTGGAAACTACCTCCAGAAGGATGGGAAAATAGAGAAGAATGGAAGAAAATATTAGGCACCTGAAGACCAAAGTAACGGTCAAGGAATGGAAGAAGAAAAAGAAGTGAAAGACATCTCATGGAAGTACTAACATTCCTAGGTATGTTAAAAAATATGGCTACAAAAACTTCCCTTTTGGAATTTCCAGCCAGGTCTGAATTGATCAATTTCCTGGTCTAGGCTTTTGAATTTCAGTTTAGGCAGAGTAGCAGAGGGATGGCAGGCATTTATTTTCCTCTTAAAGTTACAAAAGGCACAGTACTTTAATACACTTTGCCCTAAAACAACAAAGGAAGTTCTACAATAGGACTCCTTATTCTATTCTCAATTTAATGCAACACAGACTAAAACTTACTGTCTACAAGATTATTGGGTGTCACAGCACAGAAGGCTACAAGTTGTATGATTATATATGTGTACTATAAATTCATGCAATAAAATTAAAAGCCAGTACCAATTTTATGCTGTTACATGCTAGTTTAATCCCCCAATTCAGTAGGTTCACAAAGCATTTGGCTTAAAAAATTCACAAAATGTCTCTGTTACTGTATTCTTCAACTTTATGGCCTCCATATGCCATTTAAAAATTCCTAAAAATTTACTTTCCCTGAAGTAAAGTAATTTTTAGGAGAATTTTATTCCTTGGAAGCCTACACAAGACATTTCTAAACAGAAAACAATAAACAATGAATTGAAATTAATGACCTCCATACCTGTAGACAAATAGTTTTATAACTATCACTTCTAATTCAAAGATAGAGAAACTCAAGAATTAATTTAAGATAAGATATTCATTAACTACATCACCTGGCATATCTAGGAGGACTAAAGGCCAGCGACTTAGGAACCACGGGAAATGATTTGAATTAATCTCACATATTAGCTATTGTCCTCTTGTTGAAACTGATCTTTTGGCATAAATTCAAACCTCAGTGGTCAGTATGAGGGGAAGGACTTTATATATATTTGTTGTGGGTTTGTTAGTGCAACACAAGGGGTGGATCTGGAGAAGAGAAAAACACTTTAATTGCATACTTTTTTTCGTTCTTCTTTGAAGTCTTTTACTAAAATCGAAACCTCCCGAATGACGTTGGACTGGAGGTTTTCTGCGATCACTTCATGTTGCCCTGCTAAATCATTGATTTCTGTCATGACATGTTTGAATGCTCTGCATGGACTGTACCTGAAACAAAGGAAAGACAAATTTTATTCTCATCACTAACTTCAGGTGCCACTGTGGGACATAATGCTGTAATCACAAGAGACAACCCAATCCATTTCAACATGTTCAACTTCCACTTGGCTTTCATATCAAAGTCTTGGATTCATCCTTTAACCCACTCTGTGCATGACAACCAAGTATTTTCAGCCAATGTCATTGCAATTATTCTAGTCAGTTTAGAGTCACAAAGAATTTTTGTACAGTAGCCCAAATATTAGCACCATCAAATATGAGAGAGAGAGTAGTATTCGTTAAGCCACTATTCTAATTGCAAGTAAAGGTTTTATTAACTGGTTTTGCACAAAAAAATTCAGTTACAACTCATAATATTAAAGCAAACATGGTATTACATATTTTACATTTTGCCTTTCTTAATATTTCTATATAGTAACGACAGAAAGTAGCAAGGGTCCGGCATAGTCTAGTTTCCAAAAACTTCCATTCAGAATAGGAGATGCAATATTCGTTTGTCTGGATTAACACACAAAGGGAATTTTACATTTCATGTAGGCCTATTCAGTAAGCAAAATCACTCAAGGCAATCAATGTAGTAACTGAATTTGTGAGGCGAAAAGTGAAGCACTACGTTATTTCACAAACATGATAATGCTGGTCTATACAATTACACCTTCGTGCATTACCTCCATCACGAAATGTAAACTTACTTGCTCTATCAGTCATAACTGCAGTGCACTAATACCGGAAGTGTTCATGTATTACGCCCATAAACAGTTATCAAATGCTTCAATGAAATCGAGAAAGCTCCATGGCGTAATTTCTTATTTCATATTATCTACAATGTTCTGCGGGATGTTAATTATCCGGGCGTGGACCCTAGTTTCGAGAGCAACCAACTGTCACACTAACTAGATGGCTTACCGAACCCGAAGGTTCATCACCGAATTAACCAAAGCCCTCCATCGGACCCTGTCCTGGGCCAACAAAATCCAGTCTCCTTCAACTCCTATCTCCCATAGATCCCACCTGACATTATCCTCCCATCTACGTCTAGGTCTCCCCAGCTGTCTCTTCCCCTCAGGCTTCCAACCAATACCTGGTGCACACTTCACGTCCCATCCATGCGCGCTACTTGCCCCGCCCATCTCATTCTTCTCGACTTAATCACCCTGACAATATTGGGGGAGGGGTACAGATTTTTGTGTTAAAAAGCGCCCCACACCTCCCAGTGTTATCGCACTGGTTTCTAAAATGAGGCGATATTATTAAACGAAGTTCCCTTAACCGCTCATGTAACACCCGTATAATCCGAAGAATGTATAAAGCGTTGCATTACTCATTATCAGCCTGAAGGGAACAGACTATATGGGAGACCTAGCCGCAGACGAGAGGGCCATGCGGATGTGGACAGAACTCAACCGACTCTGCGTACGGACAGTGGGCGGGCTCTTGCGAACACGATAAAGAACAGATTTCTACATAAATGAGGGACTTTTGAACTACTCAAGAGATCGGCCAGCTCTGCTCAATGGAGTTAGTTGGTTATTACTCATGATCACAGATACATGCACGCCAAATCGAAGAAATCATGCCAGAAGGAAAAATAAACATATTTGCATAATCGGAGATATCTGGTCTGTCCTCATAAAATAGTGGAATGTATGTCACGCAAAAAGAACGTAATGCTGGTGTTGCTCTACACAGAGATACAAATACTTACATTTGGGCGTATGAATGACATTTGTCAAGCCAAATAAGCGTCTTCTGTAAATCAATAATTTTGTTGATTAACCTTTCTGGCATGATGCCCTCGAAATGTTTACAGGACGTCTGTAGTCTGCAGAATGTCTATTCAAACAAGAATCAGCTCTGACACTGACGAAGCACTGTTTTTTAAGTCATACCATTAAGTAAACAGTTTAAATGCAGTACTGCAGTGGCAATCCATCAAGTTGAAACCAATTCTCTGGCACTGAGCAACAAGTGATACGACGATGAAAAACCACACTGCCAGCTTCCTGTAGCACTTGGAAGGTGAAGATAACCGACGTCTGGGATGTTGCGTCGAGCTGTCCGGTTGTAGCTTACCGGTCAGTTCATTTCGCGAGCGGAACAGTACAACTTTAATCGTTCTAGTAGTGGGTTTTTCTTACCTTGAAGATTTCCGACAAAAATGCTGTTTTCAGGCACACTTCTCACCCCACCCTCCACCCCAAACGCTATAGGACTACGTCAATTTAAAATTATTTTATTAAATACACATCTGATGTCTGTTGAGGCAACACATACGAGTGGCAGCTTCCAGAAAACTCAGAACAGTGTAAATATTAAGGGGTAAAATTGGTACGACACAGCGAATACAGTGCTGGGAGGTAATAGCCTGATAGAGAGTAATAAAAGTTTATTACCTAATTTACAATTAATTATACACTTATTTACATTTCTTGGAAACCAAAGCCTCAGGAAGATCACAATCAGAAGATGCAGCCATCTGGAAGCAGCGCACACAAATGGCATTGCTTCCCCACACTCGACTTCGTGTGAACGCCAAATTCGCCATAAATATGCATTAATTCTTACACGAATTACGGCCTTGTTTCAGATTCCAAACAGAATTATGTGCACAGTGAAATCCTCTTAAGCAACATACATGAAATCATGCATTCAAACAAAACTGTTAACACTTTGAAAAGACACTTAGTGCTAAACGCGTTTCGACCTCAAGAGGTCATCATCAGAGGCAAAATGTAAACAGTTTTGTTTGTATGCACGATTTTATACATCAATACAATGCACGGTATGCAAGGTTTTAAGACTCTTAAGCAGCAGCCTAATAACAAAAGTAGCTTCAATCATATTAAGAACTGCGGTCACACTTTCTGGTTCTTCTTTCCGTGCAGCCACGACGGTTATCAGAAATGGTAGCAGCTGTCCGGAAACAGATGCGCACTTCATTACTGAATCTGGAGTAAAATTCTTCACATATTTAAACGGGCATTAAGTACCACTGCATCAAGAAATGGGTGTTCTTATTCTTAAATGGCTAAATTTCAAGTAACGGTCGTGTCTTCTAAAAATATATTTCACAGTCAACTAACCCTAACACTGGAGCAGCAGAATCCAAAGGTTCAACGTCGTTAACAGCAAGAACAGCCACTTAGGCCTATCCCTCTCATGAACCAGTTCAATCCAGTTCGCATCCCCATGTAATAATTTCATCCATTTTAATACCGCACTCCCACATCCGTCTTAAACTTAACACCATTTACTTTCGGCAATCGTGACGAAGAAATGCATTAAGAGAAATCAGACTAAAAAGATGCATACATCAATGACCTAATTGGACTGGATTATCATAACTCGTTCCTCTGCTTTTCTTAAGATTGTTTTTGTGCAATTCCTGTACCTGGCTCCAATTAAACAGCGATGCTATCCGCAAACAGCCTGTATAATAGACGAAAACTCTTACGACTCTAATCGGAGATTTCTGAAAGTCTCACTCACCATTAATTCCGATGACCTGAAAAGAGTGAAATGCAGTGTAAACAGGCCCCCTACTGCTTTTAAACAAATGTCTTGTTTTCAGGGCCTCAAACTCTAAGTTTTAAATCTTCCGAATTTGGTCATAACCAATACTACATCTGTTTTCAGTCTATAACAGTTGCTTGCAACTGTTTTGGTCGTTTTCCTTAAGAAAAACTCTATTTATTAGAATCTTTATACCTCAAATTAATATCTACCCACACCTCGGATTTTCCAAAAGTCTTGGCCTATACGTAGCTAATTCTGAACCAAAGTGTCAGTGCATGGACCCTCAGATGACAGATTTCATACGGTCTCGACCTGTGTTTGAAAGCAATGTCAACTGAACTTATAAGTACAACTTCTGTAAACTGCATATCAGTGCCGGCTTTTACACCGCAGTTGAGACTTCCTGTTTACAAAGAACTCGACGAACCAGTGCGAAAAAACAACCTGGCAAAACCTAAAATAAACATGGAACAAAACGCAGCCAAAACAATTTGCTACAAATTAATAAAATGCAAGTAAAGTCTGCTTTCTAGTACGGTAAGAACTCTTTAGAAACGTATCTCCGAATTCAAAGTGTTCGTCCACCCACTTTTAAACCGTTTCAAATTCCTTAAAACTGGCAGCTTCTCAGAAACGAGAAATGCATATAGTCTACCAAAACGTCTTTCCAAAGGGGGCGTGCGTGTTCCTTCGGACAACT